ACAGGCTGCATCAACCAGGCATTTCCTCAGGGGGCTTCTGTGCTGCTCGCAGCTCCAGGACGTGCTTTCCTTTCCCTCGCTTCTGTGCCCTCCACTTTTCATTTGATTTCCGTTTTCCGCCCTTATCAATATTCCAGCTGTTCCCTCCGATTAATCGCGGCTCTGGGACATCTTCGCCCAATGAGCCCTCCTGGAGCTGCGAGAGACTTTAAAGAACACAGCAAAGGAAAAAAAAAAAACATAGGAGGGGGAAAAATTCACAACTTTCTTAAAAAAAATATTGCTGAGGAGTCAGGCCGAAAAGAGACGCTGAGTGGAGCTCAAGTGCTACTTTAAATCCCCCTTTTTAAACAAGGAAGTTTCAAATATCCGTTTTTAAATCATCGTTCCTTACTTTGAGCTTTTTCCCCCGACTCTTACCTTGGAAATAGTTAACCCGTTTCCCCCTGAAGCAGGACTGAAACCATGACAGAGCACAAGGCTGGGAAAGCCAGCTGGAATCAGCTCCAAAATATTCTTTTGGACCAAGAACCCAGCATTCCTCCCCGCGAGTCGAAACCTCCAGATCTTTTGAGCTATTTAATAAGAACCGATCAAATAGTAACGCGTTCAGGGAGGGAAAGCAAACACATCTTCAATTTGGGGATATATTTTTTCCTCACGTTTCTGGTGCATTTTGTCATCTCTGAAGGGATAGCAGATAATATTTTGCACTAACCTGGGCAAGAAACTTCCAGGGATTTTAGTACAACATCAATTTTAAACGTAACCCCCAGAAGGGTTACCAAAACTATTTGGAAAATGTCCTTCCATTCTCTATTCTCTTTCTCTCCTTGCCTGCTTTGCCCCAAATTCCAACATATTGAAACATTTTTCTCCTTAATAAGAGGAACATATAAAGTGAAGGGGTGAAAGGGCAACTTGGGAGCCGTGCCTAGAGCTGCGCACACAATTTACTCTCTGGTAGACGAGGCGTTTAGCATTCCTCCCAATTTCCAAGGAAAACAGACTCAGACCTGGACCCAGTGACCAGGGACCTCGCCAGAGCCGCTTTTTAATATAGAAATTCTTCGCATTCTTTGTTATTATTATAATTGTTGTTGTTTGTGGCAAGAGGAACTGTTTCCTAAGCAAGGTAAAGCGACAGGGATTTTAGGGAGACGCTAAGGAAGGAAAAAGCAAAGCGACAGGAGGGACTCGTGACGTGCGGAGAGAGGGGGAATCACGGGAACCCCAAACCAAAAGCAGCGTTGTCATTTTTAAATGGCTTTAAAAACATCGCGTGCGCGGAGTTAAAAATGCTCTTTCCAAGCCTTAATCTCATTATTCTGCGGGGATGGGAACAACTCCTTCTGCGCCCTCACAACCGAGCCGGCTTGTGAGCGGACCGGCTCACGTTTCAAAGTCATCGTTCATTCTTTTCTCACGTTTCCACGTGTGAATTACACAAAACACGGCACTGAAGAGGATCCCCGAGGGCTTTACTATTGTGTTAACAGACGCCTCCTCCCCTCCTTTTCGTTGCGGGGCAGGTAACAGGCGCTTGCATCGCTCCCCCGCGCGTTTTTCCTGTTATTTTTCCTTTATTTTTTAACAAACCTCTGACAGGGAGCCGTGTGCAGCCTCCCAGCCTGCAATGAAATAAACTTTAAAGGCTGGCGTTAACAAAAAGTCGGGATGTAAAGCACTCCCAAGTTCAGGGGAGATGAGTGCCCTGAATCCTGAGCTGGCTTTGCTGCCCCTTGTAACCAAACCCCACAGCCGAGCGGAGAGACCCATGTGGCCAGTTGCAGTCATCTTGGGAGCTTTACTAGCCCAAAAGAAAATTGCTGGCAAATTGGAAACAGCTGGAGCATCGCAGACCAAGGAGGAAAAAACCCCCCACCCTCCCCAATCCCCCCCCCTCCAGCCTCCTGAGCAGGGAAAGTTGCGGGAGTTTTGTTTATCCAAATATCTCGGCGGCAGACACGACATCTCCAGTTTTCCTCACCAAACCGTAGGTGACTTGTACATAAGCAACATTTCAACATCCATCACCGGCGGTGATTTCTTCAAGATGCCTCTGAAATCCCTGCGGGCTCTCCCGGGGCAGCTGCTCCCGCCCGTGCCCGTGTCCCCTTTAACGGGGTGCGAGCAACACAAACAGGGACTTAAAACCCACAAAGGGTTTTAGCCGAGGGTGCGGGGGGGAACCCGACAAGTGCTCCGTTCCCATGAGCCTGTCAGACAATTGCTGCAACAAATAAAACGGTGGAAAAGCTCCGAGTCCTGCGAAATGTGCTCTTTTCATGTTTTCTATTTATTAGATACGTTAAGAGAAAACAGACTCGTGTGAGTCCCAAATGTAGGCAGAGTATTAAAAGAGGCATGTGAATGCTCCAGCAATTACAGCTGAATTTGATTAAAAACGTCATGAGGGCTGCAAAAGCAGGAGTTACCTGATACACTAACCCTGAGGTTGCTTTAGGATGAATTATAACACAATTCATTTTATTTTAATAGGTCACCATAAGATTAACTGTTTAAGGATGGAGCTGTGCTATAAATGTTTACATCAAACCAGAAAGAAGCAAACTTTACTTTCTGGTTGTTTAGAAATAATGTTTATTACATTTTAAAATTCTTCAACACGTTAATTAGAAATAAGGGGAAAGTATGTGAAGTCAAAAGGAGCTCCAGCGCTTGACATGGAACCACACACACACTTCTGGGCTTGTTTTCCTTTCCTGGGAGGAAAATGTGGGGATTTTTAAGTGACCATCCCCATTTCCTTGTGCTATGGGAAAATAATGGCAACAACTCATTTTCCCTCTGCTCCTCTCATGGTTTGGTCCAAAATTTGGAGGCACTTTGGAGTCTGGGCCTGTGGTCAAGGACAGCCACCAAAAGCTGAGGTGGTGGCTCTGCCTCAGTGAAATCAGCCACCACAACACCCAAATCTGGGGGTTTAGGAGGGAGGAAACTTGAACATCCATCAGTGGCCGAGGTGCAAAAGCTCATGGGATGAAGGACTTCAACACACCCTGCCAGGTCCTGCTCCCACCGCAGGGACTGAGGCTTTGGATGTGCTTCGGGTGTTACAAAGAGATCTCACAGAGAGGTCCAAGAGGTAGAATGAAAACAGGCTCCTAAATTCCCTCTCAAGAAAGAAATGGTGAAACACAACTGCCGCAGAGAGATGTCCATCTGATTTTTCATCTACTGTGCTGCTGAGGAGCTTTTGGATGAGGCAGTGGCGGCAAATTCTGATTTTTCCTTGTGCTATCTTTAAGCAACATTTAATAAAAAAGGCACTTGGCTGGAACTCTAAGAAGTAGTTAATTATCATTAGCCATATACCTGAAATTAAAATATAATAATAGTTTTATAGGAAAATTCTCCTTGTTAAAATTTATTTTTATTTTCAATTCATAAAAAGGACAAATTTAGAATTTCATGAAAAACAATTTCTGTAATAAAATACCATCACAAAAAAGTTTCATTCAGATCTCAGAAAGACCCTTTTCAATGAAGATCTACTGTTTCATTTCCACTAATCAATCTAAGTAAAAGCACTTTGATAAATTCCACTTAAAATCAGCAAAAGCACTATAAATATTTTTAGGAAAGACATTTCAGCTTTGCTAAATTACTCTCTACCATGAAAAACACCTTTGAAATAGAATATGTTTCACCCTGGTCTTATATTAGTGATGAATGGGATTAGTGTATTCAAATAAATAATCATAAATTATTGATAAAATCATTATCACAACGAAAGGGAAACTTCAGTTACAGAGATAAAACGAGGGGACAGGAAAAAAAGAATTGCTGTAATTGTTACATTCTATTTTATTCTTGAAAAAGGAATGGTAGGTGAAGGTTCATGTGTGTCCCAGGAATTTTAATTCCCTTGTTCCCATTCTGCTAAATGGGAATGAGAACCTTTCACTTTTGCTGGGCTGCCCGGGGTTTGAGGACGTTTGGATATTTATTTTGACAGTGTTTATTGTGAAGTTGGAAAACGTGGGGGTTTGGTGGTGTTGTTAAAGACCTGATCCACAAAACAGTGGAGTTTCCACTCCCATTGTTTATAAACATGGGAGGAAATGATTTACTGTCTGTGGGATGTCATGGAACCCATGTTAAACCAGCCTGGGTTGGTGACTGGTTTGATCCTCAATCCAGGTGGGTTGTTTTCCTCTGGATTTTAACCAGTCTTCAGCAACATCCTCCTGCAGGTTATATTGGGCAGAATATAAGTGTTACAATGGCATTTGCTGGCCCAAATAAATTCACAGACAAGAGGGTGGGAAGGAAAGTTTAAGGATGGGGTGATAAGACCTTAGATCCCATGACAAGTTGGTGGGCAGAGTGGGACAGGAATCCCTGTGACAGAGGACCATGGCCACCATGGACCTTGTTTTAAGAGGCTTACCAGAGTGTTGAGGTACCCAGAACCACACTCTCCACCTGCCTTGCACCAGCCTCCTGTGGGTCCAGCCATGCCCAGGAGAGACAGGGAATATCAAGCTCATCCCATGAGGTCTTGGGCAATATCCAGAGAATTCTGCCTTTAGCAGAGGTCACAGAAATATATGACAACTATTTATTTCACAGTGGTCTAAATCAGGCTTACACATTCCCAGAGCTACTCAGACATCGTATGGAAACTGCTACAGAGCAATCAAAATCTTTGTTCCAGCCGCAGTGGCAAAGTGGGACAGGAATCCCTGTGGCAGAGGGATCTAATCCCTCAGTGGCAGAGGCAGGACAGGGACCATCTGAAACCCTTCACTCCACACAAGTTCTGCTCCCCAGCATGGAGCCTCTGCTCTCCTGGGGCCTCAATGCTGGACATGTGGCCCTGGTGACACCTTTTTTCCCCAGGATTTTTGTGTTCAACCCCTTCACTGTTCGCTCGGTGACACGACTGTGACACACCCTGCAGTGGCACCCGCAGAGGTTTGTCTGGGTGGCCACAGCCCCTGGTGACAGCACTGCCACCCCTGCCAGGTCCTCGAATGCAAACGGGTCATGCTGAGGTCCCCAGAGGAGGATGGGTCACGTTGAGGTCTCTGAGGGAGCTGGGCCATGCCAAGGGGCCCTTCCCAGCAGAGATGCCAGAGGTGAACGTCTCATCCTTGGCAGAGTCTGGGCTCTCCTCTCCTTCATGCCCCAGGGGTCGTCAAGATTCAGAGGGGTGAGGGAACCCACTGGGTGGGGCACAGCCCCTGAGGGGACCTCGTCGCCCCTGAGGGGAGATGGGTCTGTGCTGAGGGTACCATGCTGCTCCTGAGGGGAGAAAGGTCTGTGCTAAGGGGACCTGTCTGCCCCTGAGGGCACAAGGGTCTGTACTGAGGGACCCTACTGACCCTGAGAGGACAGGGGTCTGTGCTTTGAGGGACTCATCTGTCCCTGAGGTGACAGGGTTCTGCACTGAGGGGGACCTGCTGCCCCTGAGAGGACAGGGGTCTGTGCTCAGGGGGCTCTTCACCCACTGAGGGGACCCTGCTGCCCTTGGTGGGGTGAGGGGACATGGAATGGAGCCCTGAGGGGGGTCCTGCAGCCCTGTCCTCGACAGACAAAATGGGGGCGTGTGCTGAGGGGAGAACCCACTCTGTCAGTCACAGCCTGTCCCATCACAGCCTGTCCTGTCACACCCTGTCCTGTCAGTCACAACCCGACCTGTCAGTCACTGCCTGTCCTGTCACTCACAGCCTTCCCATCAGTCACAGCAGTCACAGCCTTCCTGTCAGTCACAGAAGTCACAGCTTGACCTGTCACACCCTGTCCCGTCAGCCACAGCCTGTCCTGGTCCTGTCAGTCACAGCCCATCCTGTCAGTCATAACAGTCACAGCCTGACCTGTCACACCCTATCCTCTCAGTCACAGCCTGTCCTGTCACTCACAGCCTGACCTGTCAGTCACAGCCTGACCTGTCAGTCAGAGCCCATCCTGTCAGTCACAGCCCATCCTGTCAGTCAGAGCCCATCCTCTCAGTCACAGCCCATCCTGTCAGTCAGAGCCCATCCTGTCAGTCAGAGCCCAATCTGTCAGGGCTCCCACATCTTCCAGCTCTGCTACACCTTTCCCCCCTAAATGTCTACTGTGCCCCTTTGACTGAACAAACCCAACATTTACCATCCCAAAGGAGCCCCCACCACTCCCTTTCTCTTCCACACGCCTGCCCAGACGATGATGACTAGAAAAATAGAAGAAAATAAGTAAAAGAAATTAAAAACTCTTTTCTCTCTCTGGCAGAGTTTTGCCTCTTAAGAAATGAGAAGTAGCTGTGACCCCAAATTCACTGCAAGGTTCAGCGTTGCTTTGCTTTTTGGTTAATTTTGCATGAAGCACCTCTTCCAGAAGACATAACAATATTTATTCTTTCTACATAAAACACAAGGATGCCCTTGTTTCCAGCACAGCTCCCACTCCTTGTATAGCCCAGCTCCACAGCCTGTTCCTTTTGCATCTGCTTGCTCTGGGATTGCTTATTTCCTTTTTTTTTTTTTTTAATAAGCAAAACCCTAAAGTCTTCTCCTGGTGCTCCCTTAGAGCATCCCTGGCCACCCTGAACTGGAGCTCCTGGAGGAGCTGCTGCTCAGGAGAGACCAGGCAGCCCCTGAGGACGCTTCTGGAGCTCTACCTGCTCTGGTCTCCACAGAAAACCAACCATCCAAGCAAACACATCCATTATTTCTTTCCAGAGGTTAATTTCTTGGAAACATCTCACCTTGTTTTTGATCCACTGTGAATGGTATAGGAGCTGAGCAGGAGGGAAGAGAGAGAGAAGAAAGGCAGCTCCACCAAAAGCCACATAAACAGCTGAATGAATGAAAAGGATTAAAAATAACACCCAACCCCGAGGTGAAATTAGGAGAAATAAATGGCTAAAACAGGAGCTTGATGCTATTCCAAGTGTTTTGACACGGGAGCATGTTTCCCATTCCACCTCTCCGCTGAGAGGGTTTCTCTTCGCATTAGATGAACCATAAAATAGAGAGGAAATTTAGAACAACACAGTAAAATGGTGTTTTACAGCCCTTTCCACAGAAGGTTTTCCCTTGAAGAGCTCTTACACCCTGGGCCTTGTCTACGCACTGTCACCAGACAGCTCGGGCTGCACCAGTCACATTAAAGCGTTTCAGTGCCCGTCGGAGCAGCCTTTCCATGGAGAGGTGCTTTATAAGGGAGAGTAACTGTTCCCATATGGAAAGGAGCGATGATTTGGGAAGTCTCTCTGGTTAATATTATGAAGTGCTCGCTCTGAGCTTTTGCTGTATCGTGAAACGACTCAAGGTCAGGGCACAGCCCTGTTCTCCTGCAGGGCCTCCAGGACATCCCTAATGGAATAGAGACAACAGGGAGACTGAGTTCAGCTTTGATCAGGGGTTTATGGGCCAAAGAAATTGCCTGGGACAGGAAGAAATTGTTCCCCATGCAAGGAAAGGAGATGGGAGTAATGAAGGTTTTATAGAATCCAAGAGTTGTTTGGGTTGGAAGGGACCTTAAAGCTCATTCTGTTCCAACCCCTGCCATGGGTGGGGAACCTTCCACTACCCTCAGACAACACAAGTGTGGAGGGGATGAAACTGGGATTTGAAGTGGATTCACAGGGAAAGGTGTGTGGGTGAAAGAGGAATCTGTGTGAAGGAGGAGGGAAGGTTGGGTTCCCTTTTGTGTCAGTGATGGAAAGCAGTGGAGGAATATCCTGGCATATCCTGGCATCCCTGCCCATGGCAGGGGGTGGAATAAGATGATCTTCAAGGTCCCTCCAACCCAAAGCATTCCCTGATTCCATGAATACACTCAGAGGGGCTGGAGCAGGGGCACTGCTGGGGGCACTGGTTATCACCAGTGGCCTAAGCACACGGATCCTGGGATGGTGGAGCCCACAACTGAAGCTGGGTGTGTGTCAGGACAATTTTGGAGCCCACAACTGAAGCTGGGTGTGTGTCAGGACTGGGACAACAAGGGCAGGAAAACTGAAGATGCTGGAGCAAGTAAACTGCAGAATAGCTGAGCCCCAAGGAAAGGCTGGGCCAGAAAACCCCCCAGTCAACCAACCAAAGGAGAATGGTGTTGACTCAGGCAGTTAAATCAGTAAGATCAGCACTAAATCAGTGCACAATATGGGGTGGTCCAGGGTTCTGCAGCTGGTGGCTGTTGGAAATCAATGTCACTCTGGTCTCCATAAGGCTCTCTTTATACTCAGTAGCTAAGATATGAAAGGTATGTCATAAATTACAGATTTTAAGGTAAAACCAGACCATCTGCCTTAAAGAACACGGGTTTCAATTTTTTCCTGCTTAGAAACAACCATCAGAGCACGAAAACTTCATCCAGCTGGTCTTGCAGAGGAAGAGCATACACCCTCACCTTTTCATTGCACAGCCATGCTCAGAGACACATTTTGGGCTGCCTAGAACAAGGTGAATTACTGTTCTCGGACACAACCAGCCCAGATATTTTTGTTCTTAAAATCCGTTACAGATGAAGCCTACATGCTTTTCCAGTTACCATCAAAAACCTTGTGCACATGGGGATAAAAGGTGATTATAAAAATATCCCGGTGATTATAAAAATATCCCAGTGCCCATGTGAGCAGCTGCTACCTCGTCCTGTTGGTCCAAAGCCACGTTGCTCTGGGTGGCACATGAACAAAGACGAGATGATGCTCTGGGCCCCAGAGAGGGTCTAGATTTACACAGCACATCCCAAACCCCTCGGTGTGACCGAGGGACCTGCTGGAGCCAGCATGTGCTGCACAATCCTGGAAAACCAAGCAGTTTATTTTAGGAGCCTGCCTATGGATTGAGGAGCTTACATTTGGGCTCCTAACTGGAAAATATCCCAAGCCTATAAAGAGATCAAGATGTTTCCCTTTTCCATCACAATCACAACCCCCCTGGACCATTAGAGGTGAATCTCCTCTAAGAACTGGAGTCATGACACTGAGTCACATCCTTGGCTCTTTGGAGGTGTCCGGTTGCTCTCTCAGCTTGTTGATTCTGCTCCAGTCACTTGCCTTATTTCCTGGACTTATCTTCCCTACCAGATTTCCCCTCCTCTCTCTCCCTCCTGTGGCTCATAAACACTTGAAATCTCCTGTAAAGCCAATCTGGGCTCACAGCCTGTTGTGAGTACAAGCAGCAGCAGATAGGAGCAGATAAGGAGCCAGGCCACATTGTCTTTTTCCAGCCTGCAGCGAGAGTTCACTTTTAAATCTGAAAATTGTTTGCTTAAGGAAAAGGAAATGTGCACGTATGTGCTGGGGGACAGTGAGAGAGGGGAGGAAAAAGAGGAAGGGAGCTGTTTAAGAGCCCAGATTGGGGCGTAGGAAAGGGAGGATTGATGGAGATTGATGAAGGAAGTTCAGCGAAGGTCCTGCTGCAACAGGCACTTGTAAACCCTGTGCTCCTGTTATCCTGCCCTGTTCCTAAACATCAGACCATTCCCAAAGGGGAGGAGGTGTTTCCGCAGCAGAGCCCTTGGATGACCAACCATCTCCCTCCAGGCACTCCCAGGCCAAGCTTTGCTGCAGTTTTGCTGCAGTGACACCCAGTTGCTCCAACCATGGGGAAGGACTTCAGGCTGTGTCCACATGAGAGAAGTTCTGCTGAGCCACTGTGCTGATGGTGGGACTTAATCACTAAACTGGTCAAAAATCCCAGAGTGAACACACTTGTACCCAGTGCTCAAACTGGAATGGTAGGAAATCTCTATCCCTGCTATCTGTCATCCTTTGTGCATGAAAAGTGCTACATATTCCTGGTTACAGTGACCAACAAATGGGCTCCCCCAGGTGCAGCTGCCTTGGCTCCTATCTGTGCTGGGGGTGCTGTGGAGGGGTGGGAATGCTCCTGTGGTGGAGGAAAACTGTGGAGCTCTGTGGATATAAATGCTTTTCCATCCCTCCCTGTGTGAGGCAGGGATGGTCCCTTCAGCTGTGCCACTGCAAGGATGCAGCAGAGCTGCCAGGTTTGGGTCACAGTGGCAAAACATTCCTATGGGAAGAGAAATCTGCTCAGAGAAAGCACATCCAGCATCCTCAAAATGCTTCTCTCTGAACTGTGCAGGGTTTCCTTTTGATCTCTGAGGTGCTGAGATATTCCAGCTTCCATGGATCAGATAATGACCCAGGGCTCGAGGCAGCCCAGGTCTGAAGGAAATGATAAAGGCAGTTTGTGATCCCTGCATGGCAAGTGCTATGTAAATCTATGAACTGATCTCCTGATGGTGCTGCAGTCAATAAAACCCGCTGCTGTCTCTGCTGGGTACAAGATTCAGACCTTCTTCTGGGATAAATTTGGAGACATAGATGTGTATTCCTTGAGAAGCTGGGATACAGCAGGGATGCAACCAGCACAGGGAAATCTGAGAGGCTGATCCTCCTGTCTGAGCACACTTAGGATCCAGGCAGCTCTAAGGTGCATGTGCATGCACACACGTTTTTACACAGCTTTCAGAGCAGGTACCCTTAAAGAATAATCTTGGGGAACAAACATACTGGAAACAACCAGAAACAGGAGAAATTACCATTGAATTGTTTGGGTTGGAAGGAACCTTAAAGATCACCCATTCCAACCCCTGCCATGGGTGGGGACACCTTCCCCAGACCAGGCCGCTCCAATGCCTCATCCATTATAAGGATTGAGAGACTAGAGAAGAAATTGGACTGGCCATTGATGCCTTCTTTATCAGTGGCCCAGGCACGCCTCATTTGGAAAACTCATTTCCTGGGATCAGAGAGGCTCTGATGAAGCTCCAGGAGCTGAAAGAGGAATATGAGCTGCTAATAGAACTGGTGACCAAGTGGCAGCTCCTCGACCTGCAGCGAGTGGGCTGCAGAGCAAAGTCTGTACCTACAGAAGGAAACAGTTCCTGGTGGGACTGACAGGACTCCCTGGCCCCGAGAATGGCTGTGGGAGTCGAGGACTGCTGGCCTTTGTCACATGTAACTTGAAGAGTTTATTTCACAGGCCTGTCCTTCATTTTTTCTGTGTTTTGGTTCCCCATCTGCAAAGCAGAGATAATGGCAGGGCTGCATTACCCAAGTCCCTGTGAGATAAGTCTGCCCATGGCAACGAGGGCAGTGCAATGCTGCAGATAGCAGGGGGTGCTGAGGGCACAGAGCTGCCTTGTGTCAAGCCTGGCTTTGGCTGGGAAAGGATGGAGCAAACCAGGAGAGCCTCCCTTCAGCCATCCTTTCCCAGAGAAACTGGGTGCAGGTCTCACACATGAGGATTGGCTGAAGGACCAGATGAGTTAATTTTAGGTTGGAGGTGCAGCTCAATCCGTGTGGATTCTTTGCTCCATCACAACTTCTCACCTCCCTACCCCATCTCTGACCTCCCTCAGGACAATCCTCCATCTTGCTCATGTTTACACATCACCACTGAAGTAGAAGGGCAATGAAAACAGATGGCAGCTGCAAACTCCCAGCTCCTGTGGCTGAGCTGCCAAAAAAATGGCCTCAAAAAACACGGGGTGGAAATCTGAGGGACTGGAGGGCTGCTAAAATCCCAGCCCTGAGCCCCTAGTTGAAGGCAGGGAAGGTCTTTTTGGGCTTTCCCTGGCCTGGACCCTCTGTGGTAGGGTGGTTTGAGCTCCTGTTCTCCATCCTGGCCCATTTCCTGGCTCCCTGTGACACTTTGATTCATCGTGCCCATCCACCCAGAACCACCCAGGGAAATGGCAGCTGAGCCAGGCAGCCCCAGTCATTCATGTTCCCCTCAGGGGGAGGAAGAGAGGCTGAAGATAAGATCAATTCATTTGAGCCAGAGCCCATTTTTCACTGGCCAGTTCCAAGCATGATCCCTCCAGGAGCAGCAGGATGTGATCCCTTCAGGAGGAGCAGGCTGTGATCCCTCCGGGAGCAGGATGTGATCCCTCCAGGAGCAGCGGGTTGTGATCTCTCCAGGAGCAGGTTGTGATCTCTCCAGGAGCAGCAGGACATGATCCCTCCAGGAGCAGCAGGATGTGATCCCTCCAGGAGCAGCAGCACTGCCACTGTCCTCAGTAAAGTCAATTCCAAGTGACGTGCAAGAAGATTCTTTGCCCTCAGAGCTGCCTTTCCTTGGCTGGTTCCCCCTGCAGGATGCCAACACTTCCTGGGCACCAGGACATTTAGGTCTGCCCCAGACCCAAGGGCTGACCCTGTGCTTCAGTGTCCCCACTCCTGTTCACCCAGACTTTGGAGCCTCAAACCCAGGGGTGTTTGCAGCCCTGGTGAGAGCTCCTCGTGTGGAGAGCTCTGGTGATGGTTCCTCTTCAGCTTGGCACAAGACAGGCTCTCTCCCATTTCCCATCCTATTATCCTCTTCATAAAAACCAACTTTAACAGGTCTATTTTATAATGTTTGGGTTTTGTTTGCTACTGTAGTTGTCAGCCAGCAGGCAGAGATGGCAAGGCAGCACAGGCCAGTGTTCCAAGGAGTTTTCCAAGTTCCTGGTCGAGACAATGACACAGTTGAGAACAAATAAACAGAAACAGGAGCAGAACATCAGCGAGTGCAGAGCACCAGGACACGGGAGCAGGAGACCAGCCCTGGACTGAGGATCAAAGAGGTGCCTCAACCACAGGAGGAGTCCAGCTCGTGGCTGCAGCCTTGCCCTGGTCCTCTCTGCTGCAGCACCCAGTGGAGGATGCTTCAGGAGAGGGTACAAGGAGTGTCCTGAAGAAGGATGTAACAGCACTGCATGACAATTGCTGTTTTTTAATTCTTTCTTTGTTGCAAGATGTTCTGCAAATGCGTAAATTCTGTTTTCCTGTGTCCTCGTGTTCCTTGTGCCCCAACTCACCCCATTCTTCCCTCTGTGTCCTCAGCTGCTGACTTTTGCAAAATCTGTACAAATTTAATATGACTGGGACAGCCAGCCTTTAGAGATTGTTTGGTTGGAATCAGCCAAGGAGGTGGAGAGGAGAGGGGAGTTAGAGCAGAGGGATGAGTGGGGACATGGCTCAAGCTTCCTGTCAGGAGCCCAGCTCCCCCTCCTGCAACCCCCAAATGCTCACCAATGTCTCTTGAATTCAGACTTTTTCCCAAATGTTTTCAAATTTGGTTAGGTAGTTGTCAAATGCTTATATTTTTGTTTCCATCCTAAGGACCATTTGGTTAGAAATGTTTGATTCTATTTCAAACAGAACAAAAGCTCAGTATTTAGGTGTTTCAATTCTTTCAAAAATAAATATTCCTATTTTCATGACTCCTACTCCCCTTTCTCTTTTTTTAGCTGGAATAGTCAAAGCTTCAAAACCACTGATGAATGAGAAAGTGCATTTTTTGCCCTGGCTGATGGAGTTGAGTTTAATGGGGCCATGATACAACCAGCTGTTGGGAAACTCTGTTTTTAGGTCTGAAAGCTAAAAGGTGATTACACTGCTGCCATAAATACAATGATTTGCCAGTTGTAGTTTGTTCCTGATGCATCTGCATTATCAGAGGCTTGGCAAGGGTTGGGCTGAAGGATGAGGGATGAGGGCAAAGCAGAGTGTATGGACACCCTGCCCAGGGTCTGTCTGCCTGGGAATTCCAGAGACAGCCCTGGTGTCACCCAGGGGGGAGATTCACATTCCCCAGCATGAATTTTCTCCTGGGCAGCCTGTACAGCCCCGTGGGGATTGTCCCTCTCCATCCCCTGTGCAGATCAGTGGGTCTGGGAAGGAAACCATCCCCTCCTGCCTCCCACCTCTTTCCATCCCTCTCCAAAGCAATGCCCCAGATATTTTGCCCTGGAATAAAATCAAATCCTCTGAAATTTACTGCAGTGTTTATGAAAATTTCCAGCTCTTTTGTCTCCTGAGGAAGGAGCCTTACCCTGGAAAACTCAACATTCCAAACACCTCCTCCCCCAGCACAAGTGCTGGCTCTGGGTACACGGACACAGCACGAGAGGAGTCGCTGCAGGAGGGTGAATTATTCTTTTGAAGTGGCTTCTGACACTAAAAAGTCCCTTGTGCTGGGTGTTGTGATTGCTGGCCAATTCAGAAAGGGATATTTTTGGAGTCTGGATGTCCTCACTCCCCATTTCCCTCAGGAAAATGGCTGTAGCTCCAGGTGAGCCAGCTCCAATGATTGCACCAGGTGAAACCACAATGCTTAGAGGAAAAGTGTCCCTCCTGCAAAACTGCAGCTTCAAAATCCCATATTTCCCAGTACACAAGTGTAATGGATCACAGGTCATTTCTCTCTATTTCCCCACCCCATGTGTGCACTTTTAACCTGTTAAATTCAGATCATCTGCCAAGGTGGTAACAATCATTCCAGCTTGAGAGAAATCCTGTCCCTACACAGGGGCACAACCAGTTCCTCTGGAATTACTCAGATTTTTCATGCTATTGAACAAAATACAGGGTCACCCAGAGAAAGATGCTGCTCTTGGTGGCATGCGGAAATACCAGCAAGTGTTTTCACCGAGGCCAAGACCTTGCTGTTCTCTGCTTCAGACTCCTCCTCTCACTCAGGGCAGCTTTACAAGGCACAGAAAGGTTTCCAGTTTTGAAGGCATGAGATTATTCACTGCCCTGACGAATCCCAAAATTGCCAAGGAAAGATGTACATCATGGTATTTTCCACTTGGCTGGGCAGCACTGGATGGACCCAGCTGGAGGTGAGCAGCCTTGGCAGACAAGGAGAAGGATGCTGGAGCTTCCCATGCTGGGCAGGGCAGAGCAGCACCACCCAGAGAAAGAGCTGCTCTCTGTGCAAAGAAGCCAGTTTCTGCTCCCTGAGCACTAAAACTCTGATTTTCCATGTTTATTTTACTTAACTCCTTGCTGCAGGGGAATTCAATGATGCAGAGGGTAGAGCTCAAACCTGGGTAGAGTGGCAAGTCAATCAGGTTTGCTGGGGTTGGGGAATCTCTCTGCAGTTCTGCCTGGGCCTTTTTAAATGACTGTGGAGGAACGAGCATGGGCAGCTCCAGAGAGGCTGGTTGGAAGGCACTGAGTGGAATATCTGTCTTTATTTAACTTGGAAGCAGCACTGCTCTTGCTTTTCTATTGCCCACTGAGGTCACCTCTGCAGCCTTTTGCTCTGGTTCCCTCCTGCTGGGACCCACCGGCCTCTCTGCCCATCAGAGGTGTTTTTCTTTGCTCTGCTAGTTCCAGGCTCTCTGGGAGAGCTGCTTGGAAGCCAGAGCCTGCCACCAAACCAGAGCTGCACCTCTGCCAAATGATTCATTTCTCCTGACTTCAGACTTTATATATATATAAGCATATATTTACATATGTAAAACCTACCACAGCAGTGGCTGGGAGGTGCCAGTGCCCTCCTGTGACATGTTGTCCCCTGGCTTTGCTCCAGAGATCCTTGTCCCCAGCCAGGAAGGGTGGGATGGGGGTCACTGTCTTGGGGGCAGCTGCTTTGAGCAGGGATTGGGTTCAACTCCCAGCTGTAGCAAAGCTCAGACTAAGCAAGACAAACCATCCCACTGTCTGTCTCCAGCATCATGGCACGGTGCTCTGAGAGCAGATCCCAACACTCAGCTGAGGTGTGAAGGACATGCAAAATGATCCAGACCTTCTAAAGAATTAGAGTCTTTTCTAACATTAATGATTCTAATGATTCTATGAACATTCCATGAGTCTGTGACTCCATGATTCCAGGATTCCATGATTCTATGACCGAGTCACAACCTGTCAGCTGTGGTTACTGGGCTTTCTTTAACCAACCACATGCTCTGGTACAAACTTGGAGGTAGATTCAGGCCCAAGGGGTGGCCACAGAGGCACATGGAGGCACGGCCCAGGCTGGGGTATAATTCCCTCAGACCTGGCACTAATTGCAAAGCCGGGCTGGGGAAAGGGTGGGTGTTTTCACACGGGTTTACACCTGGAGGGCTCAGGGTCTGAGCTGAAACCAAGGACTTTAAACAGTGCAGGAGGTGAGCTGGGGCTCTGGGGGAACCTGAGAACTGACCCCACTTTGGTAGAGCTGAGGTTCCCCTGGGCACAAAGCCAGGGCAGGACCTACCCAGGGGGGATTGCACCAGCCTTGAGGTGCTGCTGTAACCCAGGGAGCTTCCCTTTCTGTGGGGCCCAAAATGGGCACTGTCAGACCTGTCAGGGCACAGCATTCCCAGGACAGCCCATGGACTGACCAGTGCTCAGACCATCCCAGCAAGGACTCACTTCAGTCTGGGCTTGAGGCTCTTGGGTTTCCACTCCCAGGTGCTCTCCATGGGTGATCCAGGGCAGGGTGCTGTGCCAGGAGCCACCCACAGAATCACAGAACCACGGAATCAACCAGGTTGGAAAAGACCTCTGAGATCATTGAGTCCAACCTTTGACCCAACCCCACCTTGTCACCCAGACCATGGCACTGATGCCACATCCAGTCTCACCTTCAACACCTCCAGAGACGGTGACTCCACCCCCTCCCTGCCCAGCCCATTCCAATGGCTGAGCACTCTCTCTGGAAAGAATTTCTTCCTAATATCCAACCTAAACCTCTCCTGGCACAGCTTAAGACCAGGCCCTCTTGTCCTACTGCTGCTTCCTGGGAGCAGAGCCCGACCCCCACCTGGCTCCCCCCTCCTGTCAGGGAGTTGCAGAGAGTCAGGAGGTCTCCCCTGAGCCTCCTCTTCTCCAGGCTGAGCCCCCCCAGCTCCCTCAGCCTCTCCTCACAGCACTTGTGCTCCAGTCCCTTCCCCAGCTGGACACACTCCAGCCCCTCAGTGTCCAGCTCCCTGTGGTGCTTTGCTCCTTGTTGGCTTCCCAAACTGTATCTGTGGAGCTCCAGAGCACTGCCCACAGTCTGTGCCAGGGCCTGTTTGCACTTTGGGGTGGGTTTACAGCAGGGAATGAGAACACTCCCTCACCACCCAGGGCTACCACGAACACAGGCAGGATGATGTCATGTGCACATAGAGCAGGAATGAGCATCCAGCAGAGACACCCAGGCAGCAGGAGGGACACAGAAATCCATGGGGTCACCCCTGGGAGAGGGGTATCCAAATCCCCACGGCTCTCACATCCCTGGGGATGGGAATGCTTTTCCCTGGGAGCACCTGTGGTGTCACCACGCCATGAGGCTTTTGTGGGCCATCCCACCACATCCCATCAAACACAGACTGTGCCCTACAGGATCCGTGGATGCTTCTTCTTTCCCTTTCTTTTCACGGTTATTTTTTGTTGTTGTTTTTGCTTTATTGGTCTGAGCAGATGTTCTAAACATCTGGCAGCAGCATGTTTGTTCTGTAGGCCCTTCTGTGTTGTGTTAGTGACAAAGCAACAGAGAAAGGAGCAGGAATGGCTCTGGCACATCTTTTGCTGCACAATCCAGATGTTTTGGCATCTGTGCTGCTTTTCTGCTGGTGCCAAGTGGCACCCTGTGGCTGTCCTGCCATGGCCCCAGTTAAACTGGGCAATTTCCAGTGTCTCCCAGTGCCAGGAAGCCTAGTTTTGAGAAGTGGTACAGAAGGAGATGAATAATAAGCGGGGTTAAGTCTGAGGTTTGGCTTTGGTAGGCTCCACTCCATGACCTGGGGAAGGAGCCTCTCCAGTGTGCTCCAAGTGCCACGTAGTAAAGTCCTGGCTGGAAGTTTTCCCTGAAGAAAAGTGATGATGAAATCCCACTTTATTTTCTAAGTGCAAAGATTTCACAGGCTTGCCTCAACTGCAGAGCAGAAACACTGGTAGGAAACTACAAATCAGTAGTTTATTTAAAGAAAAGAGACAACCCAATCCTTAACAAAAATAAATGAGGGGCATGAGGGAAAACATTTGTTTTTCCACTTTTGAGCTGAGAAGTCCATTTGTAATGTGTGTGTGGAAAAAAAACCGTGCGGGGTTGTGCCCAAGCTGCATTTGGGAGCATCCCCCGTGTGTCACCAGCCCGAGGGCAGCTCTGCAGCTGTGGTTTGAACCACTCGCCTGCAGGGAGCAGGCAAGTCCTTCCTCCACAGCCCCACTGGCCCAGTCTCCTTTCTGGAGACAGCACTGTCTGGAAGCAGTGTCTGTCTCCCTGAATATTCACTGATAAAGCCGGGGGTCGCTGCTCCAGAAGTGAAACAGGGAATTTATCCCACACCTCCACGGAGAGCAGAGTGCTGGGAGACTGGAGAGTGTAAAAATCATGTCAAGGCACAAAAAGTCCTTGGCCTGGGCTTCGGGTTGTGAAAGTTGAGGTTGCTCTGCTGACATCAATCCTGATTTGCTGCAGGGAGGTGAGGAATTCCGTGATTGCAAAGGCATATTCCCAAGCCAAATTGTCCTCCCGTGCTGTGGTCGGAGCAGTAAAGCTCCAAACCAGCTGGCTGCTCTGTCTTCCCTCAAACCAAAAGGGGATTTGTGTTTTTACCATATTGCCCATCAACTTCAATTATCTTCCTTATCCCTCTCTGTGGGAGAGAAGATCCCTGAAGTGAGCCAGGAGGGGAAGAAATACATATTTACAGAAACAAGTGTGTTAATTCTCCCATCTCCCCATCTCCAGGGGAATGGATAGAGAAGGGAGGGGGATGAAACAGGGCTGCTGGATCTTGTTTTGGAGAGAGCTGTTGAGGGGTGCCAGGGGGATGTCTTCAGCTCATCAGCCACCGTGGATGGGGCTTTTAAGGAGTTACAGAAGGATCACGGAGCCCCTGAGGGTTTCAGGTGCCATAGCAGGTTGCTGCATCCCATCTCCCAGGTGGCTCAGCTCCCTGCAGAAAGGATGGATTGTTAGTGCCTATCTGGGGATTGGGGTGTGTGAAGGATTAGGGGAATTACCAAAGGCTTGCAGGGCACTGCTGGTGCACTTGGGGTGGGTCAGAAGGTTATCAGCCTGATGGAGAAGCTGTATTTCTTGTATGTCTTTCCACGAGAGAAAGAAACCTCAACTAGGTTGTAAAACCCCACCAATTGCTCCTTCTTGGTGGCACTGTAAGATTTAGGGGACATCCAGGAGTCTCCTGTGCCTCAGGGCGGTGACTCCTGAAGGAGGACGGGGTCCACAGAGTTGTTCTTCTCCCACTGGGACCTGCCAGGGGGCTCAGGGTGGAGGGCAGCTGGTCAGATGGGGCATGAACAAAACTGAAAGAGGGCTGTGAGCTCCCCAGGGCTGCCAGGGGAACGTCCCTGCCAGAGAGACAAGTGAGATGAGAAAATGCAGAACTGCTTCGTTTGTCTCTCTCAGTTTGGGGAAGTGAGAGGGAAAACTCCCACTGCAAGTGCTACAGAACAGATCCAGCAGGAGCATTTGCACAGTCTTGGAGAAGGAGGATGTTTCCTTTGAGCTTGGAAGGAGGCAGCCCAGCCCAGCCAGAGAAACCACGGTCCTCATGGGCACAGGGAACATCCTTCCATCCAACACCTGCGTGTGCCTCAAACAGGGGAGCCATGGGCTGGTCACAGTGCAGCCCCAAAACTGCTCAAGCCATTGTCTGCAGCCCAGACAGCAACGATTTCCACCTCTCCATGAAGATGCTTTCTTCCACCTCTCCATGAAGATGCTTTCCTCCTCCTTCCCCACCCTTGCCCCTAACACACCGAATCCATGGGGACAGAGGGGGCTCTGTGACGGCCCTGGGGGGAGCTGGTGGAGCAGAGCGGGGCCCGTGCCGCGGGTCCTCCCCGCGCTGAGCTGCCGCCGCCTGGCTCCCAGAACACTCTGAAATGCTGGCACCTTGTGGCAGCTCGGAAAAATAACATTTATACCGAGGCCAAACGTGCTTCTTTGAAAAATCCCTTGTTGTTTCAGATCCCGTTGGATGGGGAAGAAATTCTGACAAGCGGGGGCAGAAATTGGGTCCGTTTGTCTGGGGGGAAGAGGGGATGTGGGAGTCCTGCTCCTCCCACTGCCCTATTTCTGAGCAGCCCTGTCCCCTCCAGAGGATGTGGTTATCAAACAACAAACTTCCTCGATGGATTTGGATGCCATATTTTGCCCTGCCTGTGGTATCTGGGCTGGGGGGCTCTGTCAATCAGCTGAGGAACTGAGACCACATGAGACATTTTCCCTCATCCTGGAGATCTCTCTCGTCTGATTTTGGAAGATCTAAGAAAGCTGAGATTTGAGGGCAGCTCTGTCCCCACCAGCCAGTGCCAGACATATTGCAAGGGTTAAAAATATCTGTGGGTTTGGCTCAGATCTTGTCCAGCTCTTTTTGCCAGATGGATTATCAGCCAAGCTGGGAATTCTCCTCCAGCAAAGGAAGATTTGTTTAATCCATTGGAACAAGCGAGTTCCCACAGTTACAGTTCCAGGTTGATTCCTGCAGGTGCTCAGTGGGTGCCAAATCTCCTCACTGAGAGCCTGGACAGCCCTCCCAGACATGCACAAATTTTTATCTCAGTGCATTAAGTTGTCAAGAGCAACTTCCATCCCTCCCTCCTGCTCCTACATTGCTCCAGGTGTGGAGAGCCTGTCTGGATGCTCCAGGAGCTCCCGTGGCCCTCACTGCTTCACTGCTCTGGAAATGTCTTGGGGACCTGGAGCCAGTTAATAGAACAGGAAGCACCAAATAATGTATATTATATATATATAAATAACTCGGTAACAGGGGTTACAGGAACAGCCGGGTTTGCACACTCTGTTGGCACTGGGACAGAAACTGGGACAGCTCCCAGGTCTGGTCCATGGCAGGACACTCTGGGGTGTCAGCAGGGCCATGCCTTGGTCCTCTGAATCTGCCCAAGAATCAGTTCCCTGTCAGCCCTGAGGGGAATCCAGGATTCAGGACAAGTCCAGGTCGGTAGCACGGAGTGGATACATGTCCCACTCCACAGCCCAGTCCTGCTGGGCATCAGCTCTCCCAGATCCTCCCTCAGCTCCCCTGAGCTGCCTGGCCTGGCCAGGCTGAGGCTCAGCCATCTGGGCTATGGCCACGGCCTGTCCCACTCCGGAGCTGAGGGATGGGAACTCAAAAAACCTGGAAAGGCTGACGCAGACCCAGGTGTCCACATGTCCATCCTGATAACCCAGTGGGCTCTTCCCTTCTCCTCCGTGCCTTGGCTTGGACATAGGAGGATGGGAAAGAGACTGGGAGACCACGGAGACTGGGGGATCCACGGATGTGTGTCAGAGAGACTGGGGGATCCATGGATGTCATGGAGACTGAGAGATCCAGGGATGTCATGGGGGCTGGGGGGATCCATGGATGCCATGGAGACTGAGAGATCCATGGATGTCACAGAGGCTGGGGGGAGCCATGGGTGTCATGAAGACTGGGAAGCCATCGATGTCATGGAGACTGAGAGATCCACGGAGACTGGGGGAGCCATGGAGGTGTTTCCTGCAGAACATCTCCTTCTCTCACTGCCCTTGGAAGGACCAGGGTGGCCACACACTCCCAGGAGGATTTTTTGGGAAATGTGTGTGTTGGTAAAACGTGCTGGGTTGTTTCTGAGAAAAAGAACCCACTGGCAATGAATGTGCTGAGACAACGTTTTCACAGCCACCATGGGTATGGAAGATGATGCTCATAGAGAAAAGACCAACTTAAGATACATCAGCTGCAACAGTAGGAAAGAACAGACTCGCTTTTGGGGCAAGATCCTTCTTCAGTGACTGCTTTGTGCCTTTGTTTTATGGGTGAGCAGCCTGTGAGCCATTCTTTACCCTGAGAGAGGATTCTGACATATAAGCCCAGCTCTAAATAGCTTCCTCCTTTATTGGAAATAACCATTGGCACAAGCTACCACGGGAAGTGATGGATTCTCCATCTCTTGAAGTCTTTAAATCAAGACCGGATGCCTGTTTGGAAGAGATGTACAGCCAAGCAGAAATTATTGGGCTCAGAGTAGGAATAAGGGGATGGACTCATATGGCCTGTGTTAGACAGGAAGTCAGCCTGGATAATCTATGGTCCTTTCTGGCTTTAAGATCTCTGAAAGTTCAGATCTGCAGCCAAAGTGTGGGGCTCTTCACGTGCCTGTAAAAGAGCAGTGCCCTGGGGGACGGGAAAACCTTGAACTGCTCGGGAAGCTCCCAGTGCCCACAGATTTATTGTCACTGGGACCTGAAGTGATGCCTTTTCACAGTAGATTGTCTCTTCTCTGGACTTCAGGTGGGAGAAGAGCTCAGAGGGCCAGACAGAGACCCTGGGGGGCAGGCAGGGCAATGTGGGATGTGGGCTGCAGCCCTACTTGGGGTGCTGGAGGTGCCACCCAGAGGTACCAGCGTGGAGAAATGCTCTGACACGGCCCATTCAGCCTGGGTGTGGCTGCCCAGCTCTGCTGCCATGGGATGGCCCTGGGGAGGGGGAAAGAGGGTCTGGGGAAGATTTGGGACATTGCCTTGAGTGTCAGCTCATGTCAGGCTCAGTCCTTCACACTCACTGCCAATGTCCCCCCACGAGGTGACCTCTCCCCAGGAGGATGTGAAACTTGGCTGCTCTGCCTGATGCAGTAAAACTAAACCTCGGACTTGTTTTCCAGCTGATTTAATAGGGAAAGAGCGTGTTCCCCGTGAATTCTGCCTCCCTGAAGGAGAAAAGGGGCAGAAAATGAGCCTTTATTCAGCCACGAGCCTTTCTGCACCTGCCGGATCTGCGAGCTCTGTGAGAGGAGGGTGGTTTGTGGCTCATCCCTGACATCCCGGGAGTTGGGGATCCAGCCGGGATTGCAGTGCGGCCGGGCGGCGGCAGGCGGCTCCCGGGGATGCTGCTCAGCCACAGCCGCCTGCGGGCTTCAAACACTTCCAGAAAGGCAGGGAAGGAGAGTGTCACTTCAGAGAGAAGCACAATGTAAAGTATTTGCATACATTTAGCCCTGAAAAAAAGAAAAACCCAACGAAAAAT